ATGTGCGGTTGCCAAACATGGCCACTTAGAGCCGAGAATATCAAAATACTTGAAATCTCTGATCAATGGTGTCTACATCTTATAGTAACGGTAAGATGACAGAATCGGATTTCCAGTGTAGATGTCCATTAGCGGAGCATTTGCAGTGAAAATTTGCCATCCAGGTATGCAGTAATTTCAACTGAACGGACCAAATTGCGTCGTGTTGAACGACCTGCCTGGTGTAAAAATTTTGACCCCGGAGGCTTACTAAAGGACTGGGTCATCCCAACTTGAACGTCTAGGTCTGTGAGCGGTTTATGTTGTTCGGAAATGGAATCTTCACTGATTCGAAATCGGCGTTGTCCCATTCTCGTATTTCCATGGCCAGAGATATTTATGAAGACAAAGATTCCTCATGCATGAGAAAAGCGCTTAAAACAGAAAGTAGAAGCTATAGCTATAGGTCGATCAGTCACAACCAGCAAAATCTGCAAGTGGAGCTTAGAAAGCCTAATTCAAAACCTCTCAAGATGAATGGCACGAATGGACCCCAGAAATGTTTGATCTCAACAGTCACCACATTGACTGAGCGATACGGTGTACTGGGTACCTTAAACGTACAAACCACAATCGAAAGGCGTATGGTCTAACCGATTGGTTACCAGAACGCAATGGATTGTCATTTTCACTCACCACCCCGATACTTTGCAAATCAGGCTTGGACTATCCGAAACTCAGGAGGTCAGTTTCCCAGAGCAATTCAAATTATTTAGCACGGGTCACCTGGCGGTATTCAACCTACAGGAAGATTTGGAAATAACTCCTTTGTTTTAATGAGTGTCACGTATTGACTAGTTTTGCATACAGTTTGAGCTCAGATGAGCGTGAAATAGACCCATCAACAAAAGCATTGCACTCCCTCTCCCTCTCGATTTTGGAATTATCTTCGCTCCCGCATAAAAGATCATCACTGTTTTTGAGAATCTATACCTTTTTCAGTTAAAGATGTCCGAATATCATTTAAGACGTCACAATATGAATTTAAGATGTCCGCGTATCAATTTAAGATGTCATGTTGCTATGGGGATAGTACCTTGCACAGTTCAGAGTGAAAACGTTCGATGGGACCCCTGGTTAGCCAGATCCATGTGCGTCCTACCTGTATACTGATCTACGGCCCCCGAAAATTGCTCGTTTGCTTGGTCACGTGGGAAATGTGGTCATCGTGTGAAAGACCCCGCCAAACCTTAAAGTACTCCTTTTGTTTCGTATTCAACCAAGCCTGTGTCGGTTTGCACATGGTGGTATAGATCTGACTGAATTGTGGGTTGCATTGTCCAGTCTGTGTGAGCAAACAAGCAGACAAGATCACCGTCGGTGCATATTTTTGTTGAGCGTGGGACGATATTTTCGGATCTGGCTAACCAGGGGCCCCATCGAACGTTTTCACTCCGTATTGTGCAAAGTACCATCCACATAGCAACATGACATCTTAAATTGATACTCGGACAACTTAAATTGACATTGCGACATCTTAAAATGACATTCAGACATTGAAGTTCGGACATCTTAAACTGAAAAAGGTGTAGACAGAAAACGAATGGAAGGCGGAAATACAAAATTTTACTAATATACCCTTTATTTTACACAAATATAACGAAAAACAGAATTTTAACCGCGACAAAGATATCGCACTGTCCAAGGTTTGCGCACACCCAACTCGGCTTGAAAACAGGTGTGATAGTCATTCTGAGTTTGTACTTCGGCATAGCAACTGTGGTGAGTCAGCGGTCGACGGATTGGTGTTCGCGACGGTCATGTGACACCGTGGTGACGGTGGTCATATGCTTACACCACTCTCAATGACTTTGAAGGAACAAAGACATCCAATTAGGTAACGACAAGTGATTGCTAACCACGGTGCGATGGGACAACAGAGAAATCCGGATGTGATGTCTGTCGTAAGATCAAGGTTAGCACACAGACAGACCGTGTAATAAGTCCCGATCACACTGTGGCACGAAATTTATGTGGAAACAGCCAAAAGCCAGTCGTAAGCGGATTGGACGCTCTCGAAGAAGGATAAATAAATGCATAGTGCTACGCAGTGCCTCAAAATCCATGCGGAGATCAAAACGATGCTTAAATCGATTGTTTCGAGGCGAATGATAAACGCGACACTTAAAACAGTCCCATAGATGAAAAAAACCCTGAAAACTTGCACAGTTCCTACTACTTTACAAATAGAGAAGCTGTTACTGTGACCTGGAAATCATGTAAATTCGAATAACGAACAGAATGTTATCACGTTTAGCGACGAAAATAAATTTAATAGGATGGATTCGATGCGTGCAACCACAACAGGTATGATCTGTGGAAAGAAGAACGGTACTTCATTCGGCGAATTACCGATCGAAAGACCCTGATTGTATGAGATGTTTTCTCGAGTAGCAGTCTAGCTGAAATCGCCATGCTACGTGAGGTACAAAATTCTGGTGCTGACGATTTGGGTTATTCTTACTGAAATATGCACCGACGCTCCAGAGTTTATACCTTAGTGCACCAATAAGAGGAATCGTTGATAAAAGAATGATATAATATTAGCACGAACATGATTCGAAGTTTCAGAGAATTAAAGTAACTTTAATAATTTTATCGTGGCGAAAATTGTTTTTTCTTATTGATATATAAAATAAAAGGTAATTTGGGGAAATTTCGTATTCCGGCGTTTCATTTAGTTGCTATCTCGGTTCTCAAAAAAGGTGATGACCGTTGATGCTCGAGCAGAGATAATCCCAAAATAAAGCGGGAGAGTTGCAATAATTTTGTCACAGAGTGTATACCATAATACAAAATATGTACATAATGTGACTGAGAACGTCTAATGTGATGGCGGGATAGAGGACACGTTTTATCAGTCCGTATCAAGTTTATTATCGTCACGAAACCAGCTTCATGTAATCATAAGCTCGATCGTACTACACTATATTATATAGAAAAAAGCCCAACACTGTGCTGGGATACACCGATCTAACCATACCTGCAATCTACCAAGCTGCAGATCAGGGGATGGTTAATTTATTTTCAACTGAGTTAGTTTCAGGCAAGCAGCGGTGATAAAAAGAGAGCGTGATGAATTCCTGAATTGATCTTTAGGTTTCTCGTAACACTATGCAAAAGCTTGTCGTGACAAATGCGAATTGCCATTATAAGGTCAATGCTAGTCGGATCCAAACGATTAAGGGTTTCGGGTGAGGTCCCCAGACAAACCCTTCTATGTCGTCCAGGGTAACCGATAGGTATCTGGATCATCAGAGAATAGTAAACAAAACCGAAAAAAATGTGGAACCGGATTTGATGACTGTGAAGAGCTTTTGAACCCATTTTAACTGCTTCATACTGTAAGTGAATTCAGTTTTTCATGATGTAGCCTGTCAAAATAACCGGGAGATAAAAGGGCAAACAGCTAGGGATAAAAAAACAAATTGCATGGAATACGTAAAAACCGCATCTGGCGCTTGCATCAAACGGACCGGAGCCGATAAAGCAACCCTTATGAATGTACAGAACATAGAAATCACGGAACGAGCATGGAATATTGTGAGAGTTTTCTGCCGGGACGGTGACTACCGCCAACCCGAAAGGCTACATACTACAATCTATTCTCTTCTCTTTCTCTCTTTCATTTCTACTTCCTTTTACTATATAGACAGATTCAAGTTCCAGGAAGGAGAAAGGGGTCAATCAAAGCATTGTCACAAAGGACGGTTAACAAGATGATCGTGGGACTGTATCACAATACTTATGCGGAAAGAATGCAATCATTGAGGATATATACTTCACTCAGTATCGCCGAATAAGAGGAGACTTGGTCTCGATGTATCGAACCCCGAACATCTACTCATATTGTCGATAATACACGTAGATCATTGGAAAAGAACAGAAGATCAGGCTCAGCATCATCATCGCTGTACGATGGTACAGCGAAATACGGTGAATCGCAATTCACTGATCGCTGCCAAACTCGCAATGCATACAAGATTGGTGNATCCAGAGCGTCTCCTGTCAACAGAGGAACGATGATTACGCAAGAAACTCGGAGTTAGGTCCACCATACAAAATATGGGTAGAAGCACGAAACACGTTTTCCTGCTAATGATCTCAGAAGCTAACTTTAGAAGTCGACTGGAAGCTAGTGCGTGCGTATGCGTGAGCATGCTTGTGTATCACGTTATGACTGCTTTGCAACGGTCAATTCAAATCTTTTTGCTTGACCACATTAACCAATTTATCCCTTTCACCTTCTTCGCTCTCTTCCCCAGTAACATTCATTCGACTACGGCACCTTTCGTACAAAGTGTGAACATCACACTAAGTGAGTTATTATTTCTTACGTTGTAACTTCATGTGAAAATAACTAAGCACTCAAATGCACACACAGCAAGTTGAACTGTGCGAACCATATCGTGCGGATTCATACCCGACATAATGGTCATGTCAGTGCGGTGAATTGCATTGCAGTCATGTCGATTTCTCATTCGTCCGAGGTCAAAAAAATCAAGAGTGCATCAAAATGGCCCTCAGTTTTGTACATTCAGTATTCCCGAACCGAAACTGATTTACTCATTTGCACGAATGACTAGAATGGTGAAATAATTGATTCAAAAAGAAGTAAGCAGATTGATTTCTCGAATCACTTGATTCGAGTGAAAACGCTGAATACAATAAGCCTGCTTCCAATTTAACACGGGACGATGGTCTACAGAAGTTCAGTACAGATCGTTTGGCTGATGCATTGATGAGCGCTGTTACTGATCCATTTCGCTATTTGTTAACTGACGAGTGTTAACTTATTGACTGATTGATCAATCTATTCATTCTCATGGCGCATTTGCGTCACTGAGTCCATATGACAACTGCAGACGTATCACATGATCACGAACACCACTTGATAAGGCAGTAGTTAAATCCAAAACATCTAGATTTAGTTGGAGTTGTGAACTGCACAAAACACTTACCTCCTTCAATGTACACTGGCGCATCTGTTGTGTCACCAACCAAACTCATCGGTCTGATCACATCACCGGATCGATTGCGCCAACGAGATCGTACAGATGCATCCATTGGACGTGAGGTGGGCGGTCGCGCTGGGACAGCAGTTCGCGGAGGCACTCGTGAACTGAGCCCAGTGAACCCCGATTCCGGCAACGTGGTCATCAGAGCACCCGATAGAGAGGAACGAGTGCACAGGTTGATCTGTCCTGAGATGTCACCTAACTCGGATAGTTCTGTCTCCGAACGCGGTTGAGCATAATATCGTGCCAACCAGTCCGGTTCATTCAGCGGTGGAAGCAACTTTGGACCTTCCATGGTCGAAAGTGTTTGGAGTAGAGAGGCCTCCATATTCTCCAGTGCGGCTGCAATGCTACTGTCATTGGTGTTTGTCCCGGAATCCGAACTACGTGCTACGGTACATGACGGGATTGTGTCAGTCTTGTCAGACGGAAGCGGGTTGTATCGGTATTGGAATAAAAATAGAGGAATGAAGTAATTTTTCCGGCCAATATCGGCATACAATGAAGCTAAGGGTTTAAGCACATTCTAGACCGCGAGTGATTTTGCTCTCCGGGTACGAAACTTTACTTTTAATCTTTCTAAAACCGAAGAGGTTAAGTTGAGAGCAAAAATAATGGGAACAATAACCCTAATGAAAACCTCCCATATTCGAACTCGATGGAATAACGTTGAATAATTGGTTTAGTGTCGATGGCATTGGACTGCAAGAACCGATATAGATGAGTCACAAAAACTAAGCCATATTAGGACTTAAAACCAACCACAACAATTGGGCTTTGACAACGCATTCACGATTGTACTGTAATCATATACTCACTATGTTTCAAAATTGGAAATCTGAATGATTACTTGAATCTTGTGTTGCCAAACCCCAGTCTTCATAATGTTACAAGGATAATCGAACAAAGAAGGGCACATGCTTTCGAATCATGCCAGTCTCGACAAAAACACAAGTTTTCAAAACTGATGAAGGAAACAACAACCGGAAGAAAACAGAAAATGAACTCTCGACAACGACTGGGTATGAATCCGGAGAATCTCGTTAAAAACCTATCAAACAGAGTTCTTACACCCATTGAATTACGGCTACTCCAAAGGGGTCTCAACTTCAACCTTCACAGAAAACCCTTGATGGTAGAAGAAGTTATCCTCGCTCTAGAACAGGCCTTATCCAAAATTCCACAAAACGACGCCAACCAAGCACATTTGAGGATAGGTAACATTCTCAAGAACCAACAACCGATTGCTCCAAAAGTAACATCAGAAGAAAGAAAAGCACTAACAACCTTCAAACGAGAGTCTTCAATTTACATCACAAAAGCTGACAAGGAGAACGTCACGGTCAACCTACATAAAACAGATTACGAATCAAGTTTTGGAACACCTTAATAAGGGACCATATGAAAGAATTGAAGACAAAAAGGTGAATGCCACTCTCAACAAAACATAAGCTTGTGCAAACAAATACTCATCAAGCTTGAAAGACAAACTCATCAGCACCCAAAACGAATAGACCGGGAGAATTTTACGGTCTACCAAAAATACATAAACCAGACCCATTCACCCCCCAAAGTTGACTACACACCGTGTGGAACTTATAAATTAGCAAAATACCTCAGTGATCTCTTAAAACCGTATCAAGAAAATAGTCACATCAACGATGCATTTGAGTTCGCTCGTATTTTGCAAAACATTTAACTTGAAAGTGACGAGGTTGCAGTCAGTTTTGATGAGATTTCTCTGTACATAAGTGTTCCCATAAAAGAGTTTAGATTTTCTACATTCTTTGCTGATATCTGATGTCACACTATGAGAACAAACTTCTTTAGCCCCATCAGAAATTATTGCTGGTGTAGAAATTTCTCTAATGTCAACTTTATTTACTTTCAAACACGACTTTTACAGACAAACCAATGGTGTTGCCATGGGATCGCCCATCTCTCCCAGTGTAGCCAACCTCTTCTCACATTCAATCGAATCAAATGCACTCCTCAGTTTTTATATGCCACCACGTTTGTACGTAAGATACGTAGACGATACTTTTGTTATCATTAAGTCACAACAAACACATGCGTTTCTTGATTGTCTCAACAAACAGTGCAGCCCCATCAATTTCACAATGGAATCAGAGGATGTGAACAGAGTCATCACTTTTCTAGAATGTCACCTCAGGGTGAACGACTCACGCAAATCCACCACCAGGGTTCACAGAAAACCGACACATTCGGATTTACCCATGTTCCCCTTATGGGTGATCGCAACTGCCCCAATCTCAACAAATCAGCAACCATCCGTCCATTTTTCGAACATCAATTCAAGCGGCTGATTGACTCGCATCCACTATACAACCATGTGAAGGTGGCCACGAGGTTTGGAAACCTACAGTCGCCGTCCATACTGGATTTAGTGTTGACCATCGACGAGCTAATGGTAGAGTCTGTCAACGTGAT